GCCAGGGGCCGTTGCCACGGCCAGGGGCTGTTGCCACGGCCAGGGCTGGTCAGCTGTTGCCACAGCCATGGAGTGTGGTCACAGCCAGGGGCTGTTGCCACGGCCAGGGGCTGTTGCCACAGCCAGGGGCTGTGGCCACGGCCAGGCCACACCGGGGCTCTCAAGGCGGGTGGGCGTGGGCGACGAGGAGCAGCGAACTCCCGTCGAGGGGAGCTTCACTGGGGGGTTTGGAGAGCAACCTTGGGGTTGCTGGAGCGGAGAGCACGGCGAGGGGAGTGGAGTGAGGTGGAAGTGGTAGGGGAGGGGAGTGAGGTGAGAGGGGAGAGATATGGGGAGATAAGGGGCCGTCCATAAATGACGTGGGTTGCACGGCTCGTGTTGCCACCACCTGGACGATTTTTGACCCCACCCCCCTCGTCACACAACGTCACAAAGTCAGACCCCCCCTCAAATATGACGTCACAAAGCTCTGCCCCCCCCCCCAAGCCATATTTCCATTTTCAAAATAAAACATGCTTCAAATCGCTTTAAACTATTGTAGTGCATATTTAATGTGGCGTTGTACTCTGATGTTGTAGGAGAACACATTTATTTAACAGTCTATTTAATTAAGTAGAACGTGTTGTCTATATTTATTTAAATTTGCGCATTTTGTTGTGACGTCACGTTTCTCAAACCCCCCCCCCCCTCGTCACACACATCGTCACAAATGTCTGACCCCCCCCCCCCCCTAGGTGGGTGACGTCATTTAAGAACGGCCCCCAACGGTAAGGAGAGTGTAGTGAGGTGAGAGAGGAGAGGTAGGAGAGCCAGTGGTCCCTTCATGTTCACTTCCTGTGATTTCCAAAATTAGATGCGACATCGAGGGTGACGTGTTGCCTGTTTTGTTTTGCTGCTAAATGGTGCTTTTAGTCGTATTTTGCTGTAGAAAGACCCCGTTACAAGCAACCCTTAATGGTTTTTGTAACATTTGCCCATCTGGATATATTTGGTTTGGTGATTTTGGTGATGATTCACTCTGTTGGAACCCTTTACTGGTTGCTGTTTATAAAGCTGCATGCCTTTTGTTAATCCACTGCTGGATGAGGGCTTTCTCGTTTGGTTATATTTCACGGTATATATATATATTTATGGTAGATAAGTCGTTTGTTTAGTTGCATTTTGTTGTAAAAAATGTGTTTTGTCGTGAAAGCGGCAATTTTATGAAAAATGTCAACAATTACCGCACCCCCTACTGGATGTTACTAGGTTTTGCGTTGTTACGTTGTTTGAGATTGCCAAACTTTCCGCAATTTTGTGAAAATTCATGATTTAAAGCTGCAATACGTCGAGTATCCGGTATAAATGCATTTATTTGCAAGAAAGTGACACTTTTAATGGGTATATCCATAGAATAGCGCACCCTAGTTGTAAATAGCACCCCTAGTGGTGGGACAGCGCCATCTAGTGGTCACAGCTGTTTTAACTCACGTAAAAATAAACAATACTGTACTTCTACGTAGTCTATTTCTTCCTCTGTCCTCTCTCCGCTCCAAGTCACCTCCACAGCTGGTCCTGGTCTCCACGCCCTTGCACTGCTCCATTATCTCAGCTCCACCTGCACTCACACACACGCATGTTAGTACGTTCACATAGTAAACACACACGTCAATACGTTCACATATTGGACAGTTAACTTTCCACGTCGTGTCTATTCGCCACCCACCTTTGCCAAGGTTTGGACCTCGTATCTCCGGACTATCCAGGCGCCAGGGTTGTCTCGCATCGCCTTGCGCCACCGAGTCTTCACACAGGTACAGGGGGCTCCGCGTGGTGTAGTGAGTGCACTGCGCGCGCACGTGGTTGCGTACATACAGGCCGTGCCGTCGTCACGTGATTTGTAAATGAGCAAAAATCTCACTTGGGATTTCAACCCGGGTCCTTGACTTTAGAGTCAGTCACGATATCCACTCCACCACGCAGACTCACGGATACTGTGTATGTTCCGGTTATACTGGTAGGAACCTCCTGGTTACACCAGCCCACAGGGGATTATTGTGTCCGTCCATCGTGCAGGGAGGGGCTGGGTGTGGAGGGGCTGGGTGGGGAGGATGGGGAGGGGCTGGGTGGGGAGGGTGGGGAGGGGCTGGGTGGGGAGGGGCTGGTCACCCCGTGGTGCCCTTATAAAACTCAACGTTTAACCTACTCACGCCGGCTTGTGCCCGCCCTCACAGTCGGGCATATTTGCAGAATACACCACGCCGCCGTTGACCCTGGCCATTGACCGAGCAACCCAACGTTCCTACCAGCTCCCTCCGCGGGACAATGTGTTTGAACTCTTGAGAGCTGCCCACGCTCTCCGCTTGGCCACCAAACGGTTCCTGCATGCAGCCAGTGGCGCCTATTGCATTGTAACCGTCTACAGACTCAGCAGTGACTGCCACCGTCTTAAGCTTTCACCCCTGATGGTTGTATCTTGGGCCGAAGCTGCCTCCAGGCGGGGCAGCAGAAGAGGCGAGTCGAGGGTACAAGTGGTGCTAATTTTTTTACATTTAAACTAATCTGTTATTTATCAGGGAGAGCCCACTGAGCTAATAACCCTTTCTCAGAGGCGAACTGGCCACACGTAATATCTCATCAAGTGGCTTATAACATGACATTTGGATGATGTGGCAATCATTAATAGCAGCAGCAACATCTATTTAAAGGCACGTTTTTGAACGTGGAAGGCAAAACCGGATTGTATCCCTGTAGTAAGGTTAATTCCTTACCCTGCAGTCTGCCTGAGAGTACGTATTTGCCCTGTGGGTGTAGGATTTGTAGATTCGGGGTGAAATTGACCTTAATATATAAGGATGGCAACTTCTCTCCTGCCCGGCTGTACCTGGCTTCTCAGGTGAGTCTCCTGGACGACGTCAGCGTGCCGCCTGTTTACAAAGACAGGGTCAGGGTGCGGACTTCTGCTGATGCCTTTTTCTCTTATCGATGATTCATCTCTTCGTTTTAGTAATCACAAGAAACCCCAGAGGGACCGTGTGTTTTTTTCTATTTAATTCCGTCGAGCCGATTTCTACTGTCGAGGCCTAACGCCCTCTTTGTTTGACTGGCGCCTGTGCATCGCCTCGGCTAGTGTGCCCCTCCCCCACCCGTGACCGCGTGCTCAATGGCGGACAGAGCCCCAGCGAACAACTCCCAAGGCGTCGTCCCCGCCGGCTTTGCCGGTCAAGGTAGAAAGCGAGCGGCTTCAGCCCGTTATGAAGAAGATCCAACAGTTATCTCGACAGACGGAGGAGTTATTTCTAGAGAGATTGGTGTGCCGAGTTGAAAGTTTAAATGTAGCGGGGCGGGGGGGAGAGGTCACTGCTCACACGGCCATGAAGTCATCAGTAAATATTGAAAAAAATAAAAACATCGAGTGATACATAACAAGTCTTGTATTTATTCGTATTATATCATCCATCACGACAGTACACCTATCATTTATTTAAACAATCATTCAAATATACTCTCTAAGTAATTATTTGTTCTCCGTCTGAACACAAGTAACGGAGGGGGGTTGGGGGGAGGGATCGACGCTCAACGCGTGTATTCGTGGGATACAACATTCCTGTAGGATCACTTCAGCGTTGCCCGGTTCGTCTGTGGAATGAGACACACCTGGGCGTGTTGCTCCCATCACGTTGGGCACGGGATGCCACAAAGTGGTGGGGGGAGGGCGACATTCGGCACAGCAAAATCACGGTGAACATGTCGACCGCACACACGCACAGCGTGCCATTTACAAGGCGTTCGTCTTCGTTCAAGTAATCATACCATGTGTTAGTGTCGGACTTACGAACACGTTTAAATAACCCCTTCACGATTCACACGCATCATTATTGCTCCACGATTGACGATTTTGCACGTGAGGGTTCTTGTGCTGCGAGCGGCGTAATTCATGTCAATCATTAGTTACGCAATTACGTAAAAGCATTTTGTAAACTCAAAAGTAAACATGATTGACTAGGCCTGAAGTAATTCTACACGCGCGAATGATTCGTTAAAAAAAGCTTCGCCTGCGCCCGTCGTGCAATTATCGCGTCACAATTGGTCAACGTCGACGTGGCCTGCGATCCCGATCGGGGGAACAGAAACCGCGGGGGTTCGCGGACTCTCATGGCACCCTCCCCCCCCAACAGCCTACGAAGTTAGCCCACACGGTGGGGGTGTGGAATCGTCTCCAGAACGAGCAGCAAACCCTCACAACGGCACCAGCGGCTGGCTTCAGCCGACCGTCGAGTGATGATCACACGTGACACCCATTGTCCCCATTGTCACGTGTGATGAGACCGTCGAGCGATGACCACGTGACGATGGGTGCCACGTGTTACCATCACAAGACGCTCGAGCGATGATAGCACGTGGCACCCGTTGCCACGTTGCTCGTTTCGGCTGTAATCAATTTTCGTAACGGATCAACGCGCCCCTGATTATTACGTTGTGGTTGCAATTTCTAAAATTACAAGTTCGATCGCCCTCATAAGCATTTTTCGATCGGCAAGTTTTCGGATTAATGAGTGGTGTTTATAATTCTTAAAGAAACAAATTTACAATTTACTGTTATGCTCGTAGAGACATTTTGAAATACCCATCTGTCACGCTCCTACTTATTAGTGCCCCCGCAGATTAATGCTATATACACAATTGCTGTAATTATGGCCTAAATTTAGTTTGCAGCCCGCTAATGTCAGAATCTTGCCGCTACACGCGCCGTGTTCCAAAAAACCTCATCGCAGAGCTCCTCATCAGCCGCGAGCCAAGGACCACGGCAGAATTCCTAATGACCGACGGTCGAACAAAATGCATTTTTCTTCCCCCCCCCCCCCCCGACTCTCCACGCACCCAGCACAGATCCCCCCTCATCCGCGTTGGCTGCGTCTTTGTGCACAGTTCCCGCTGCAGCGAGCAGCCATACCCGAGAGGCACGCGCACCAAGAAGGGTCAACTAACAAAAAAAGAGAGCTCCCATCGGTTGATAAAAAAAAAATTGGTTCGAAAATTAGGCGTTCATTTCTAAGATAGTGGCCCGGAATTCTTACTTGAGTATTCTCACTGCTGAAAATATAGCACGGTATTAACTTATTTCACACTTTGTTATTTTCACTACCGTTTTCTTGCGAGCAAAGGGTTGAAATAGCTCACAGCTCACACCGCCCCATCCCCTCTCAGTCAGATAACAGATTATGGGACTAATACACATCCTGGTTTAAATTTTTGATTTGAAATGTAATTATAAACTTTTAATCCTCATTACAAATTGAGCATATATTTACCCGTGGCTCTGGCGTGACAAGCTGTCGTGGCGGAGAGAATCTGTGCTTTCTGCATGAACGCCGAGCAATCCTCATCTAATTCTGGAGACGGCGTGCGCTCGACAAGTCTCACAGACGGTCGGTTCAGCACTTCAGGCAAACTCTGCAATGCTCCCGTCGCCACTTGTCCACTATTCGTCAATGCTATGGGTTAAACTGCCGTTCGATTGGTCCAAATGTGCCATGTGACCTCGTGGAATTATATTTTGGAACCAGAAAACATGGCGCCGACAATGCTTTACTTACTCATCGTTGCAAGAGCCGCTTGTCAATAAAGCTACCCGCTGCAGAATCCTGACGACCGACCTTTTCAACCCAACATTAACCGCGACACCAACCTCGACATTGCCACGGCTGGCTAATGTGTTTCACCTTCGACGCCGACGTGTACCCCGGCCTAGACAACAAGGCCAAACACGTTTCAAGGTTAAACAATTAAGCGAACGCTGACCCTTAAAAGTGGCCTCCGGTTTCACATCCAGAAACTTGTTGGCTTTGTACGGGCACAAGAAGGTGCGGTTCAGAGACGCAAGCTGCGCTGCAAATGGATCAGGCTCGGGAAAGGGGTTGGGGCGGGGGGATTTGGGGGTTTGTATTCATCCCATCGCGCTGGTATCGGTTAGCTAAGGCCGTTATCCAACAAACAAAACATCTCCAATTAAATAACAGTGCCAAACGCCCACGATTACCGGCGGATTCTAGGCGTGGCGGTCGACACGCAATGTGTGTGCAGCTGCCTGGTGACGAACTCGCGGTTTATTTTCACGAACTCTGCCGAGACACACGGACCGCGTTGACGACGGCGAGGCACTGTCAAGTTTCATTTAGCAATCCTAATTGCGATCAATGTGAGAAAAATACTTTCATTGCACTTGGTCAACCCCAAGCCTGGCGTGGACAGGACCTCGGGATGTCTGCGGGCGACATCCCGAGACAAACGCGAGAGCGCGCGCGTGCCGCTATCTGCCCTGTTCACTCGCGAGCCCCGGAAAGCAGAGGGCGGAGGTAATAATTTCAGTGTCAATTGCTGCAATGGTCAGATTCCGCGGCGATACCCAAGAACGGCCACACGCCTTGCTCCCGGACGAATGGTGCGTGGACGCTAGCGCAGGCTTTTCCCGCAGGCGCGTCCAAACGCGTTTCATTCGACGCGGGAGTCAGAACCGTGAAACTATCGCACGGGTGAGGGGACAAGCGCCACGTCCCACGCAGGTGCGGAATTCACGCACGCACACAGCGCGAGGGAGGGAGAGATGGGGGGAGGGAGGGTTAGGAAGGGGCGAGGGATTGGGCTGAAGAGGTGAGGCCCGAAGAAACGGAACGCGACGAGGGGCCGGCGCGGCATGACGCCCGTCACTCGATCTCCAGGATGAGGTCGTCGCCCTCCAGGTGCATGCTGGATTGCACGTGCAGCTTGGTGATCTTTCCCGTCATGGGCGCGTTCACCACCGTCTCCATCTTCATGGCGCTCAGCACGCACAGGGGCTGCCCCTTCTCCACCTGCTCCCCTTCCTTCACCTTGATTTCGATCACATTGCCCGGCATGGGGGCCCCCACCTGCCCCTTCACGCTCTTCAGCGCCTTGGGGTGCACGTGCATGTTCTGTGAACGAGAGCAGAAGCCACGCTTACGCACAGACCACAGACTGCTTTCCGCCTTTTGTTTCACGAGTACTCGTGTTTACACACCAGGTACTCGTTTAAGGGTGAGTTGACCTAAGGCCCCCCGAGCGCGAGCGGAGCGCGAGCCGCTCCCCTCCATCGGCCGGTGGTCGATGGGGTCGGAGAGGTCGGCGGTCGATTGCGGCCAACGCGGCACAGGGCGGCGTGGCCCCCCTGCTGTGCGCATACGGAGGCGACGACGCAACAAGGCGCGTTGCCGTCACCGCGCTTGCCACCCTCGTCCTGGCGACGCTGCCGATCTTTACTCTTTTCAAGACCACGCGATTGAACCCCGTTTTTTATTAAAGGAATCAGAGCATCGCGCGGAGGCAACGGCAATACATAAAATGCAGCGCGTCTCTAACGCGGCCGACGATTGGATCGTGCGTCTCTACCTTCATGGCCTTGGTGTCCTTGACGAGCACCGATCGGAGCTGCCCGTTGAGCTCAAAGAACACCTCCCGGTGGCCCTTGTTGAGGTCTCCCAGAGCCAGCGCCTTAATGATCAGCGTCTTCCCCCTCTCCAGCTCAACCTGCGCAACACCCGTCGCATTGTGAATTTGCGGCGATATGAGGTTTTGTGAACATTTCAGTGCCCTTACTTTCTGGTGGAGCGTCGCAGTTTGCGGCACGACCCATCTTAGGGCCGACGAGTGATGACGAAGTACGACGAGGTGTGAGGCCTCACCTGGAATTCTTCGGCAATTTGGGGCCCCTCCAGGAAGAGGCGAGTGTTGAGGCAATCGACCGGCCCGTACTGCGCCGTGAACTCCTTGAACTCATCGAACACCTGCACGACACGGCCACCCCAACCCCTTGTGTGAGTCTACCATCAACGCTGGCTCACTGCGCCGCCACTTCACCTCATTCCATCTTTGAATTTGTTAATACAATGTTTTAACATCCCCTTGAGCGGGGGGGGGGGGGGGGGGGGATAATTACATTTCAAATAAAACCTTTAAAAACATCACAGAGCCAAAGCATGTCACCTTATGTTTAAAATTCTACACGTACAAAACACTTTTAAAGCCAACTCTGCACTGAACTTGCAGACTGAGAATAAACACATGTATTAACATGCGCAACAACAAACCGTGGCCATTGAGGAATGCTCACGTCACCCGTGCGGTTGAGCCACACGGAAGCTCGGGGCTTGCCAACGCTCGATGCTCAGTAATGGACTGCTGAGTAGAACCCAGTCAATACCGCACTCCGGAATGTCTCTTATATTTTATAATTGCTCTTAGCATCACCCCTCTGCCCTGCGATCGCGTGCGGCGCACTCCCTTGCCTGCGGGTACATGGAGGCTGACACGACGTCCTCCGGGGTGATGTCCCTCCCGTGCCGCCCCTTCAGATCCTTCTCCAGCTGCACGAAGTCCAGGGGAGGCAGCGACGCCCCGGGGCGGCCCTCGGTCCGCTCCATGTCCTTCAGAATCTGGAGGGACACGACGGGGAAAGACGCACAGGTGAACGGACGGGCAAGCGGACGGGCAAGCGGTAGGCCTGACGGACAGCGGGCAAGTAGAAACGTAGGCAGACAAACAGATGGACAAACGTGTAAGCAGACAGATATATAGGGCGGGCAGACATACAAAGATGAATATATAGGCAGACAGAGATAGACAAATATACAGACAATAGCCTTTTGCGGGTCCAAGGACGGGTGCATTTCAGTAAATCTGAAACTTGCAAGCAAAAAGCAGACCGCGACGTAGTATTCATTGCATCAATTTGTGCGCAATTTGTAAGGCCGCGGTGACACAGACTTATTTCATTTAGAGGTTATAATCCCTTGTTATTCTATGTCTCAATAGCGTTACGGAGATCGCATGACGTGAGGGTTCTGCCTTTGTCGTGAGGGTTGTAAGTTGGCGCTGAGGAGGGGGGAGGAGTGATGTCACCCACTAATTAATATTAATGGGGGGTGTCCATTTGGAAGACGTCACCTCTTCATGATTATTAATGTGGGGGGCTGTTCGATGTGGAGTGACTGTTAACGAGGGGGGGGGGGGCGGTTCTCCATGCGGAGTGACGTCACCCGCTCATGATTATTAATGAGGGGGGGGGGGTCCATGTGGAGGACGTCACATATTCATGAGTTTTAATGAGGGGGGCTGGCCGACGTGGAGTGACGTCACGCGCGGGAGACACAGACATTCTTGGCTCATCATAATAGTAAATATATACAGGCCAGTGGCGGGCCGTGTATTTTACACCTAGGCCTTCAGTGCTATCATCCCGCAATTAAACCGTCTTCGAATAACCTCACCATGACACTAGGGCTATATGCTATTGTCATTCGACGTAACCACCCAATATTCAGTGGAATTAAGTGATTTTAACACGAGGCTCAACACCTATGAGAGTTACAATACACTAATTGCAGAGACATGAATACATGGTGACTGAAACCATCAAAGATGTACCACTATTACGCAGTATGACAGGATGCTGCATCACAAATAGACATCGCGTAGCCAAAATCAATGTCATTACCAAAGAAACAAGAAAAAACTCGCAACAACCAGTCACATTTAATCATACGACCACCAAGCAAGCAAAACAGCCGTAAAACACAAATAACACAAACAGGATTCAACAGGCTTTTCCACAGAAAACAAAAAACTAAAATCTAAGGCACTACATCAAAAAATCTAAACCTCACGAAAGAAAGTATAAATACATCTTAGATCATGCTACGTTACGTGCTAGCTAGTTTTACTTCAGTTAGCTAACTGGCCCTCCGATCACGCCACACGAAAAATGCTGACGTAGGCGGCTAGGCCAGCTAGAAGGCTCCGGCGTGTCAAAGAATACACCCAACCATGGCAAACTCGAAATCTGATTGGTTAAAGAATATGACAAACAACAACATCGTCCCCATTTGCTTCAACAGCAGAGGGGATTCACTCGACATTCTGAAGGCCTCAGGGACAACACAGGTGGAAAATCTGATTGAATAAAAGCTCTCATTTATGAGCTGCACTGGAAGCAGCGCAACTGAGGGAGAGAGTAGCAATGAAATGACTGTCAATAAACTGATGGGAACGAAGTTTGTTAAATACACATAGCATTCATTAAAATATATACCCAATGAAAAAATATATAATTTTGGGATTCTGACAATCTCTAGGCCAGCAGAGAAGGCCTTGCTGGCCCCGACTGCCCGCCTCTGATACAGGCAGACAGGAACATACGCGGTCAGATAAGCAGACAGACAAGTAGGTAGCAGACAGACGTACACAACGGTGGGCACAGGAATATGGGCACACAGACATATGAGAAAACAGGCAGGCAGTATGGCAGAGAGACAAACAAGCAAGCACACAGACAAGCGAGTAGGCGCCGCATATCAGCTGCGGCCTGACGCTATGTGGAAGCCCGTCCTTGCCTAGAAATAGCGTGGGAGGGGCCATCTTCTGCAATGCTGCACAAGTCTTTTAGCCCGGAGGAGCTAATTATAATGTTTGAAAATATTTTGGAGACAGAAACAGGTTTAGAAACTGTTGATTAAAGCAGGTGTACACACATGAGCCTAGTGTCGGGGCCATAGCCATAAAATACGTTTGCAAATGTTACCAGCGAGTTCAGGGCAGAGAGTTATTTTACATTAGTAATATTTCAGGTAAATCGGTTAGCTGTTTCAGGTGTTTTCCAAATTTCAACAGGTGCACCTTGATAAAGTAATTTCTGAGGATGTTCATTTGAAAGGTACATTCATGGCACATTGTGATCATATTTTAGTTTTCAGGCATAGTCAAATGAAAAACGTTATTTTCAGGTTGTGTTAGAGTCTTTCAGGTAGAGAGCTGAGTTTTCAGGTAAATTGTTTGACACGGGAAGCATATTGGCAGGCTTCCAGTGTTACAGGCAGACTGATTGATATAGGTAGTATATGAACAGGTTTCAGCGTGTCAGACAGAGTGTTTGATACAGCAAGTGTATCAGCAGGTTTGTGCAGGGTTACAGGCAGGTTTGGCACAGGAAGTGTATGAACAGGTTTTCAGCGTGACAGACAGTGGTATTTAGACCACTCCCGGCGACTGGGTGGTGGTCGTGCCATGCCTCTGCCGTACGCCTTCAGGTAGGGAGAGTTCGCCGTTGATTAACCTCCCACATTTTTGCAACCAGTGACGATGTCTCCAGTACTGCCGAGTACGGAGGCTGGGAGTCTCCTAGGCATGCATGATTTCTGCAACAGTTGGGCATTCCGCGTCTACAATACCGCCGATTACGGAGGGTTGGAATCTCAACAGGTTTTTGCTGAAGACGGGGTTGTGTGGCCCTACAGAAGGCAGCTAGTTCTCGGTAGAACAGCCATTATACAAAAGATATGGAGAGACAAATGCATTACCATAAACACCAAGGAGAGGCTTGTCAAAGCTCTGTTATTCCCTGTTTCCCTACATGGATGTGAGTCATGGATGCCGAGATTGAGTGAGCGAAAGAGGATCGGCGCATTCGAAATGTGGTGCTGGAGAATAATGCTACGTATACCGTGGATAGCCAAAATATCAAACGTCCGTCCTGAGAGAGATCGGTCCCCATTCTTCCACTCGAGGCCTTATTCGTGAAGCAGAAATTGACAAACTTTGGACATGTAAATGACGACCCCTGGACTAGAAGAATCGGTCTTGCTTGAGAATGGAGAAGGTAGTGGGGACAGAGGTCGACTTCAGAGGAGGTGGATGGACGACATCAAGAACACCGCTGGCCTTACACTAACCCAGCTACGAGAGGCAGCGAGAGACAGGTGTGGATGGAAAAGTCTGGTCGTGAATGTCACCAGAGGTCGTACGCGACCTGACGGCACAAGATGGCAAGGTGAGTCTCCTAGGTACACACGATTGCTGCAAGTTAAAAACTGCGGGCGTTCTACGTCCACAATCCTGCCGAGCACAGAGGCTGCGAGTCTCCCGGGGCTGTCACCCTGCTGCAACTCGTGACAGGCGTGTCTTCATTGCATCAGAGCCCAGGGGTCTGAGGCTGCAGCCACTCCTGAGTCTAGCTCAGGGGTCTGAAGCTGCAAGCTGCTCCTGCATCAGCAGCCCAGTGGTTTGAGGCTGCAAGCTGCTCCCGCACGAGGCCAAGAGGAGTTTCCAGAGTTGAGACCCCAAGGTGCGGTCGGGTGACTTTTCGGGGGGAGACGCGAGTGGGTTGGTTAATGTGATTGTTTTACAATAAGTTGTTGTGTTGTGTTAAATATTTAAATATTAAAGTGCAAAGTGCATTTTGTATGTTTTGGTCATGGGTCGGTCTACACGACGGACCTGACAGAACCATCAGCCAATACTGCAACGTGACCTTTTCCTGATGTCAGAGCGAACAGTTTCCCCGTTAATTCTGTGTGGACCTTAAAGTCTTTAGTCCCTGGGCCACTCTTCCTCCGCTGGCCACAATCACGAGCCAAGTGCCTGGACTTACCACGTACATAAGCAGTTTAATTATTCGTCAAGATCTGGCACTCACAGGCTTCGCACTCGCACCTCCGATTTGCACGGTTGGCTACGAATGGTGCAAAAGGAGTTCAACATACATACATTTTTAACCGACCAATTTGCTCAGCGGTAGAGCGAGCATTCCTCGATCGGAAGGTTGAGAGTTCAGATGCTGGATGGGAAATGGAAAGAGCAACGGGCAGACTCTCACCTTGCTGCGCAGTGGCTCTGGGTAGCCCCCGGGGGGCACCCCGATGGCGCCCTGCATGAACTCCACGACGGACTTGGGCAGCGACAGCTCTTCGGCTCGCTCCTCCACCTCCTGGCGGGTCAGGTTGTTCTGCACCATGAACTGCGCGAGGTCGCCCACGATCTTGGATGACGGCGTCACCTGCAGCCGGGTGGGGGGCGGGGGTCAGGCGGGTGGTGACGCCACGCGGTGCGTCCTGTCAGCTCACCGACGGGAGTCTCACACCTCATTTTCAAGCAGGAACATTTAATAGTTCACACTCTGCCGTGCATACAGAGGCGTGCCAGCGGCGTGTGCAAACGGCGCCTGCAAGCGGCGCGTGCAGGGGGTGCGGGGTGGGGGGGCGGCACCTTGATGAGATCCCCGAGCAGCTTGTTAGCCTCGGCGTAGGCCTTCTTCACCTCCTTGAACTTGTGTCCAAGCCCCATGCTGTGCGCCTGGAAGTGCAAGTTGGTGTACTGGCCGCCGGGGATCTCGTTCTCGTACACGTCCGAGTTGCCCGACTTCATGGTGGCCGTGCAGTCAAAGGGCGCGTAAAGCTGGCGAGCCACCTCCCAGTACTCGCTGTAGTCGAACACCTTCTGCAGGTCGATGCCTGCGGGGAGTCCGATCCGCGCCCGCGTGTTATTGAGCCGTTACTAAAAATAACGGCGAGCGCTCCGCAGCGACCAGGTCGGGATAAGGGTCAGGCCGCACGTCTCCTGAACGACGAGGGAGGTCGCACGCTCGTCGTTGGCTGGCGGCGAATGCTGCTGCCTGGCAGTTAACGTTGAACATCGTGCCAAACGGCGCACAGTATAGCCAGAAAACCCAGAGGAGAGCCACACGGCATAACTAGGTCAACCCGCGCAGTGGTGGCATCTGTCCCCCCGCGCCCGCCCCGAGCCGCGCACTCCCGCCACACCCACCCGTGTCGAACTCCGTGCCCTGCAGCGAGGCCACCATGGCGCCCATGCTGGGTTGCGAGGTCATGCCGGACATGGAGTCCACCGCCACGTCCACCACGTCCGCGCCGGCCTCGGCCGCCGCCAGCATGGACGCGACGCCGGCGCCCGCCGTGTCGTGAGTGTGCACGTGGATCGGCATGTCCGGGTAGCGCTCGCGCAGCGCGCCCACCAGGATGCGCGCCGCCTTCGGCTTCAGTAGCCCCGCCATGTCCTTGGAATTGCGGTGAACGGCGAGGGGCGAGGGTGATCAAGATCATGATGTCATCGAAGCCCAAGCGATTCGCGGTAATGAGCTTTGTATTGCTCACGCTGCCGGTGTCTATTTTGAAATGTACATTATGTTCCTGCGTGCCTTCGCCGATCTGACGTAAAGAGCCCCAGGTTACTTATTTTCTCTCTGTTTTGGGAAACAAAAGTACTTCTGGACTGCCCAACTATAGTCGTACTTGCGAGAGTCAATAAACAAGACGCTCCCCAGATAACAATGTTCTATAAAAGGTTGGCAAAACGCTTCGAGAAGCCTACACTTGCCAACCGGGAGTTACGATAAAACTTGCATTACTCGTGAACCAGAGTGGCACGTAGTGCACGTCAAGCTGCAGTATCATTGTAAAGACTCAACTTGCTCGTTAACAACAATGCCCCGATACGAAACGTCAACAATAGGCGATGTTTTGGACAACGACCCTTCTTCATAGCACCCCCTCACCCGACTATAGACAAGGGTCCCGTTACTTTGTCAGTCGCTGATCACCGTCACCTGACTCCGGCTAACCGCCCCATCGCCCGACTGCGGGTGAGGGCCCAGTCACCCGACTACAGCTCATCACCCCATCACCACCTGTCCACAGGCGAGCCCCCAAATCGCCTGTCCACAGGTGAGCGTTCCCCCCAATCAGCCGAAGCGAGCAAGGCCGACGGGGCTGGAGGCGAGAGTGCCCGCTGTGGTCGGTGGGCCGCGTCGGTACCTTTATGCCCAGGACGTGGGTGCCGGCACGGACCAGGTCAGTCGGCCAGCTTCAGGTAGTACTCGAGGTTGTACTTGGTCTTGGTGGGGTCCGAAACGTCGCCCGTGTAGGAGATGGAGGCCTCAACCACGCCGCCTGCGTTGCCCGCCGCCTCCATGCCCAGTACCATGTTGGGCAGGTAGTTGAGCGAGTCGAATACGCGGAAGATATCCATGCCGTTCTCTTTGGCCACCTCGCAGAACCTGCCACGGAGAAAGGCAGCAGCCGCAGCAGAGAATGCCGGGGCCCTTAGAAAGCACGATGGAGTGACTTCGCTATTCATGCTGCAGGGAGCTGCCACAGTGGTGTCACGGCTGGCAATCCGGAGGTCACCTGAGTCCATCTTCCAGCATTAGTCATTGCCGGCAATATTAACTAACTGTGCAGACAATTCACATGCTGGCAAATATACAAGTGAAAACATAACAATAAAGTTACTAAATTGATACTGTATGAACCCAAACGTCATCACATTTGTCATCAACACCGCCTTACAGCAGACCAATGCACAAGGCCAGATTCACATCGTGAACAAAGAGCCCAAACACGTCATCCAAATGATCTTCGTCTCGTTACGTCACGCCAATGGCATGATTGGGGAATAAAACTGTGGAAAGAGAAACCGCGTGGCCCAGATTTGGTATCGGCACACTCGCGGCGCCGTTCGGCACAGACCGGCTCGTGCGCCGCACCTCGCGAGAGCCGGCCGCCGCGTCTCCATCGCGGACGATTTTCCTGCATTTCCCACGGCTCTGCCCGTTCGCAAAACCGATGAGCCCGGCCGTGCAACGCGCGGGGAGGCGGCAATTAGGAGACCGAGAAGCGCCGCCGGTCCCGTGAGAGCGCGTTCGACGCTCACCTCGCACCGCAACAAGAAAACTGACGGTGCCGGCGTACAGGGGGTCGCCCCGATATACGTCGCCCCGCACTCAAGTCGCTGACTTTTTGAGGAACGCAACGTAAAATGTCCCCGCATATATGCCACTATGTAATTTTCAGCCAAGCCGAGTCGAACATTGCGCGTGGATGAGTAGGGGATCAGCGCGCTGCGCTACTAGCCCGGCGGCACCAGTGACGATTATAATGATCGATTATCATTTTCGACACGGCTCAGCTGAACACAGCTGTGTTCTCTCTCGCATGCATAGCTACGAGTGTTCGTTGTAATCGGCGTGGATTTTATCGCAAAATATTATCGCAACCCTTCAGCACACAACTCATCCAATCCTCTGGGTAAGATCATACACATCATAGGTTAAGTTTCTGTGCACTCTTACATAAAATATAATTATGTTTGAGTCATGGCTTAAGCATGTCACAAATACGTTTGAAAGTGTACAGGGCTGCTTCAAAATGCTCTTAAAAATGGTTTTCAAATAAGTGTTTGAGTATAAATGCTGTTTAAAGGTTAATGAACTCAGAGTTGGTTTCAATATGTGTAGAGTATGCAGTTGTGCAGTATAGAACAGGTAGTGCACACGTACGATACGAATATTTTCGTTGCTATTTATTCTCTCGGAGGGGTTTGGGAATTCTGCCGTTAAACGTCGTTTCGTTCCAGGTCGCAACTTTCCGGTCCCTAACCCCGACGTATATCGGGGACCCCCTGTATCCCGCCTGCCGCCACGAGAAGCGGGGGATGCGAGGCCGCTCACTTGAAGACGGAGTTGTCGGGGTAGTTGGTGTAGCCCACCGCGTTGGCGCCACGCAGCAGCATCTGGAAGGGCACGTTGGGAATGAGCTTGCGCATCTTCTGCAGGCGCTTCCAGGGGCACTCGTACAGGAAGCGCATCGCCACGTCGAACGTCGCCCCTGGGAGGTGGCAGAGGGATGGGAGAGGGCGAGGCAAGGGCAAGGAGGGGGGGGGGCAAGGCAGAGGCTTACGGCTGTGGAGTGACGCAACTGGAGGTTGTGGAAACGGGTATCATTCCCCTGGCTGACAATTCAGATATGAAGTGGGAGCCACACGAGGCAGAGGGAAAATTTGGTGGACGCAGCAGTAAGTATGCAACTAAGCTCGGAATGATGGCAAGGGGGGCTAAGGCTGTGCTACAAAAGTACAAACACGTACTGACAAGTAAGCCTGGACAGACATTTGGCAGAAGCCATATCCAGTGCCTTTAGCTGAGCAGAAAATTGCGTCAATGAAGGACATGGGGGCGAGAGTCACTCATTCTAGTCCCGTGGTGTGTGTTGGGAAGAAAATTGGATCAGTCCGCTTTTCTACAGATTACCATAGACTGAATCGGGTAACAGTACAGGAAGCGGAGCCAATTCCCAACCAAGAGGCACTCTTTGGACAACTAAATGGGGTGCGATATTCTACCCACCTAGACTTGCCGAGAGGCTACTGGGACAAATTCCAGTGGCAGCTGAAGATCGATGCAAGACTGCTTTTGCAACGCATGACGGGCTGTACGAGTTTAAGGTGATGCCGATCGGAGTTGTGAACGCACCCGGCAGTGTTTACATTTTTATTGAGGCAATGCGCGTGCCCGTTACATCGCGTTGTGACGCACGTACACACCGTCGAGGAAACTAAACCGATCATAGAAGGCAGGGGATTGAAAGATGGGAACGAACCCGCTGCCCCAGCACTAGCAGTGTTTAGCCGAATGATACGATGACTGCTACAGGGGTGTCACACAGGCAGTCAAATGCATCGACAAACGTACTGATTTACATCGAGACATGGGAAGAACATTTGACGGTCCTCGAGAGACAGTTCTCACAACGACTCGCCAACGGACACATGACGGCTCGACCGACAAGGTGCCAAATGGGATACGACGGTGCTCGACTCCCTGGGACATGGGGTAGGTGAAGGGCATCTCCAACCACAGGACGAGAAAGTACAGAAAAGGTCTCAAGCAAAAGGCTCCAACCGGTAAAAAGAAGCTTCTCGCTCATTCTTGGGTGTCATGGGGTATTCCAGGAAGTTTATTCCAAAGCGAGCAGAGATTGCAAAACCCCTGACTGGCAAGACCAAGAAAGGGGAGCCCAACAGGATCAACTGGGATCTAGAGACACGGTTTAATGAGTGGGAGGTGGCACTCAACTCCGTTGATGGCATTGAGCTGGAACTTCAAAATAATTTGGTGGGGGCTTTTTGCGGTAATCCATTATTGAGCCGAGTTGATCAACGCCACACGCCAGATGACTGCTCCAGCCCGGCATTAGCTCAATGTAGCCGCTAGGCAACCTCCATGCTCAAAAAGAGCCAAGGAGATGTATTGCTAAAATGAGCGTTGAGGCGGTGCTCACTTCCTGCTTACAGCCCTGAGCCAGTGATGTTCCCCACGCTCCTTTGGTGGGGGTGAGAAATATCCACAGGACAACCACTGCTGAATACCCAAAACTTAGTTTTTTAATCAACCCTGGGAGGAAGGGATGATATTCTGCGTCAACCTCCATCCAGGATTTGAATTTACAAGCTTCCAATCGCAAGCCGCTCCCGACCGCCGAAGTATCTCCAACGCCACCGACATCACCTCCGGGGTTATACGCGCAACCCCGCGGGGTGGGGAGGGGCGGCGAGGGAGGGCATACGAGCTGGGCGCCACTCACCTCCCCAGTTCTCGATGCTGTAAAGGTTGCTGAAGGAGTGAGCGACGAACGGAGAGATGGCCTTGAGGTCGTGCGTGCGCACGCGCGTCGCCAGCAGCGACTGGTGCGCGTCGCGGAACGTGGTGTCCATGAGCAGCAGGACCGCGGTGCTTGCGCACTGCCTTGGCAAAGGCCTCGGGGCCCTGTGACACCAGCACGTCCCGGAATCCCGACGGGGGCCCGCCTGCGCACAGGCGAAGCGGTACGCGCCATCAGCTCACCTGGGGTGCGTTCAACGGCCCAGAGTGCTCTGCCGTGGCGCTACGAGGCAGAAGCTGGCTCTTACCGAGCGGTGCGTTAAGGTGGGCCTGCTTCAAAATGGGGGACATTCACTATCAGATCTTGAAATGATCTGACACCACGCCCACCTAATGCTCGGTGAGAGAGCTCATCAGACGGCTAGCTCCTGTTACGATGCGCTCTGGGCTAACAGGACGTTCAATTGAAGAGCACTCTACCCATTGAATATACATGTGGCAGGCTAGGGGCAAGGTCCACTCACCTGTATGTAAGTTGGGGTAACCTGCGCACAAGTAGGGGAATGCTCAACTACCCTGAATCGAGATGGAAGGTACAATCGGCTGAGCTGCAGGCAGGCGAGTGTGAAGTGAACTAGACTGCAGGGTTTCGGTCAGGTCTGTGTGGGTCGGCGACCCAGAATATAATTACGCACCCAGCACACCACATCCACAATGCCTCTCTCTATGGCCGTGCCTACTCGCCGCATTTCACGTACTTCAGTATACCAGTAAGCCTGTAATTATCGGGCGAGAAATGAAGCCCTCCACAGGGCTGCGGTGGCACAGTCGCACGCTTATCACCTCAACGTTGCAGTATTTTCGCTTTAATTACGTCCATGGGGAAATGCTGCGATCCTCATCCTGTAGGTCCAGAGCCGCTCATTTTAGCAGTTTGAAAGATTTACAAAAGTGTGATTGCTTCTCTTTGCTTCACTTTGTTCGTCACGAACAACCAAGGTGAACAACGGGGGTTCAAATACTCCCCATTTGGCATCACGAATGCGTTCCTTATATATGTAAATACCCCCCAGCTTGCATCATGCATTTCTAAAAAGTGCGCCGACGAATATTCAAATCATGCAAATCAAAGCAATTTACGGGGTAGGTGGTGGTGGAGGCGAAGGCTGAGAGGCGACGGATACGAGAAAGGACAGACGGTGGTGATGCTGTCAGTGACGTGAGCTTGGGGTTGAGGTGACGCGGAGTAATAAAGTGACGACGTGGTGCGTTAAATCGCGAATGAGTAGGATGACGATGCTGATGGCATGCACAGATCACGTCATTATACAACGTAAATAAGAACATAAGAAGAGTCACAAACGAGAGGGGGCCCATTCGGTCCATCTAGCTCGCCCGGCTGTGAACAGCGGATCGATTGTGGAAGCGAATCCATTACCAAGAGGGACGTCCGGCACCACGGGATCGATGTCGGAGACCTTGGCCTTGACTGGAAGCGGGGTCATGGCTCCATTCACCATCACGTGACCTGGAGGGGGGAGGGGGGGGGCGGCACAACGTCCGATTGTTCCGACATCAAAAACCGAAGAGCCGGCAACGTCATAAGTCGCGCTGTTCCTTCACTGCTTTATTTACGCGAGCGGCCACTTCCAAAAGTTGCCGAGGGGCAGGCCGGGACTCCGACGTCAGTGCCCTGGCCGCACGCTTATTGTTTGCGTTGTGAACTACGGCGGTGGATGTGCACCACTCGGGGGGGGGGGCCCTGGAGCGGGCGGCAGTGCCGTTGGCGCGTGTCCTTCCCCTGCTCAGATCCTGGCTTCGGATCTGGGCTTCGGCCGCCCGTGACAGAAACCAAGGCTGTGTGCCACCGTGCACACGCCCGAGGCCTACCCAGGTAGTAGAGAAGCTTCTGGGCACGGTTCTGGCCGGGCTTGAGGTTGAAGAGCTCCGGGTTCTCGTCGATGAACTGCGTGTCCACGGTGCCGTACACGAACTGGGAGTTGTTGAGGACATTCTGCAGGAAGGGGATGTTGGTCTGCACACGGACAAGGACAGCGGTCGCCACGTTAGGCAGACTAGACTTTGTTGTACTCTTTAGAATATTGAGCTACACACCGTGTGAAAGATGCTGATGTTGTTTTTGCAACAAAATTGCAGATCACAAAACCATTGCAGTCAAGGTTCGTGTCTTAATACAGGACGGGGTGGAAAGGCCCAAAGCCTGACTCTCTATCCTAGCCACTAATCCGGATGGGCCGGACCAAGGAACTCACAACGAGGCTGTGCCCCTCCTGCACAACAATCGATCCTCGTGCACACCCGTTATTAGCGCAGCGCGCTAACCTTTACCCATCTACACCCACACACAATCGTCAATACCACAATTACAAGGGCGTCCCTCCTGCGACCTCCATCAGAGAGCTTGCCCCATGCATGCCTCGGCAGCGCTCCCAGGGTGACGCGTGCACACATGGTGCGTCATGGAAGTGTACTTGTCAGGACCGTGTCACTTCACGAAGAAAGGAGCCATGTGTCGCTTCACTCGCAGGAGCGGGCGAGCGAGCGAGCAGCTGGGCAGGCGGCGGCCCCACGCCATCCATTGACATCGACAATCCCCATGGACTGGCCACGGCTCCTGGCGGCGCTGGTATTTGCAATTTTTATTTTCAATAAACGGGAAAGCGCTGGAGAACGACGCTAATTTGCCACAAGATCCAGAGCCAGTAAAACCATTACCGAAAGTCACGGTCTCTAGAGTGGAGAGCGTAGGATCAAGCCCCCATGCAAACCGCCCCAACGCATCCCAGCCCCACCACCCACACCACCCACACCACCCCCGCCTCGCTCACAGCTCCAGCGCGGACGGGAGGGCGGGGCGAGCGTTCATTTGTCGAGACACGAGATGGCCGATCGCTCTCCCGACCCATCGCACGCTCGGACGCTTCACTGCCTCGCCGCCGCCGAGCGACAGAGGGAGAAGTGAATCAACGGCAAAACCAAAAAAAAACACGCAAAAAGAACGATCGCGGAATGCGGGTTCATCCGTGCCTGGCTGCCGGTGAATTCGAGGAGCGGTGGCTCCGGTGTCCTCTTGCCGACGCCATGGCGCGTCCCTGCGAGAGAGCGCGCGCGCAGCGCCGGGGGCACCGCACTGCACGTGAACGCGTGTGCAGCGAGCAGGCGGGAGGCACCGCTAACGCATCCTCGGTGCTCGCCTCACCTTGACCCCGCGGATGCGGAACTCGGCCAGAGCGCGGCTCATCTTCTTGGCGGCGGACGGCTGGTCCTTGCCCTGCGCGATCACCTTCACCAGCAGCGAGTCGTAGTGCGGCGAGATGACGGCACCCTGGAACGCCGACGCGCTGTCCAGCCGGATCCCCATGCCCTCGCCGCTGCGGAACACCTGCACCCGAGGCGGCAGCGTCGTCGCAACCGGCAAAGGCTAAGTCAATTCCCGGCCGCGGCTGACATCAGGGGCGAGTGACACGTGAACTGGTTCTGGGCGCGCTCCCCACCCCTTCACCAACCCGCACTCGCCAGCGTGGTGAAGTATGATCAACCCACCCCCGTGACTGATAACGGTGTTCGAGGGAGTACTTCATCCAGCAGTGGACTCAAAAAGTTCTTAATCGCTATTCAATTACATCTCAAGTGCCTAAAGAAGAATTTATTTCCCTCTACCTACGACTACACAATAATCAGAGACATAGACATTTCAAAACCAAATGTATTTTTTTTTTTTACTGCAAGAGGCACCCGCGGAAGTGCGCAATGACGACGATGCTGAGAAACAGGAGAGGGGGACGGATTGGACAGCATTAGACGCAAGCCAGAGACGCCCCACGCTGACCGTGAACAAACGTAATTGGGCTTGGTGCCAAACGCGTCGCGAGCGGCACGCACCTCGATGCGGCCGGTGTCCGGCTGGAACCCGCGCGCCGGGTCCTCGGTGGTGACGCGGCACTGGATTGCGCAGCCGTTGATGCGGATCGTGTCCTGGTGCAGGCCGAGGCTGGGCAGGCTGCGCCCCTCCGCGATGTGGATCTGCGAGTGCACCAGGTCCACGCTGCCGGCGGACACGTGACGACAACGACGACAATGAGAGCAGCAGAGGTTGGCCGGCGCAGAGGAGAGTCGGGCAAGGTCAACGGGCCTCAGAGGTCGTGTGTGGGAAAAGTAAGATGGAATGGCGGGTGGATGCGAATCATTGACGCGAATAATCGATTTTTGCACACACAGTTTGATGCGTGCGTCTCGAGCAGAGGACTCGATTATCATCGACAGATCGCAACGTCTCGAGTGACGATCGTCGTGGCAGAGGTGGTCGTCCTCACCCGGTGATCTGCTCCGTCACCGTGTGCTCCACTTGCAGCCGAGAGTTCACCTCGATGAAATAGTGGCGGCCGCTCTTGTCCAGCAGGAACTCCACGGTGCCCGCGTTCTCGTAGCCGACCTGCGTGCGGGACCAGAAGACAGGACGCGTCACGTGACGACCGACGCCAAGCACCACAAACAACAACCACCACAACAACAATCACCACAACCACCGCAACAACCGTCGTCAAGGCCGTCGCCATCGACACCGAAGTGCGATCGCTCACGCACGCGCGCGTGGTGCAGCCACCGACACACGACTCAAACGCCGCCACGCGGCCAGCGCCAAGCCCTGCCGCGACCCTTGACACGGAAGCAGACGGGCGTGAGTCACGACTCGGAGGGGGCTGCTCTGGGATCCCAGGTCACGTCCGCGGTCAACTTAGTCCCCCTTCGAAGCGGCCACGTAAGCAAATCGCGAACACGCCGGTCCCACTCGATCCCTATCCCCGTGCGAGTAAAGACACACACTTACACCCGTACACACACAATGACAATCGCCATTCACCACGAAGTGGCAGTTATGTCATCACAGCGCTTGCGCCAGGCTACTTTAAGGCCACGTGGAGTGTCGAACACCCGCTGGGAGGAGGTCACGGTACAGACCCAGGTGCCATGGGTTGACCGACTGAGATGACTGGCCGATGCACCACCTTTTCCCCGCTACTGTGCCAACTCGCTGTTTTTTTTCCGCCTGGTGCTCCGCTCGTTGTGAGCGTCGCTCCTTTGCCTTCCGTTACACCCGCGCACACAAGTAAACACACGCACACTGCAGCGTCGCCAAAGGGAGCGGCTTGCGCATCGCCCGCCCACCTGCTTAGCCAGCTTGACGGCGTCGTTGGTGAGACGCTCTCGCATGGACGGGTCGAGGTTGGCGCCCGGCGCGATCTCCACCACCTTCTGGTGGCGACGCTGGATGGAGCAGTCGCGCTCGTACAGATGCACCACGTTGCCGTACTTGTCGCCTGTACCGCGGCAGGGTAGGCGGAATCCGGCAAACGTATGCTCGTCATCACCGAATTACTATCGTACATAGAGAGTGGACCAGTGGTGCGCCCAGCCACCGAGAGTGCAATGTACTTATACAGTATGTGTGAATCACGTACAATTTTACATTTGGGAAAAATCTCAAAAATGGTCTGTGGCAAAAACATGGCCCCCCTCCTCCTTCATGGTGCACCTCTGCAGCAGCCCCGCACCCCTGCAAAATGGATTCGTTCCCCACCCCCCCCCCCCTAAAATCTCCACCGTGGGCCACAGCGTCGCTCGGCGGCACCTTACCCAGGATCTGCACCTCGATGTGCCGCGGCTTCTCGATGTACTTCTCAATGAAGAGCGAGCCATTGCCAAACGCAGCCAGCGCCTCCGAATACGCCCTCTGGAACGACTCCTCTAACTCCTGCGTTGGTCAGTGTGGGAGGGAGGGGAGGGGAGGGAGCTACAGTTAATAATATCATCCACCGTGGAGATGAAGCGATGGTGTTGACTCGTGCGTGGGTGCTGGGTGGATTCCTGCATTGCAGGACCACGGGGGATGGTGGCGACTTGGGGTGGCCTTCATCCAGCAATGGACTGCTTGTGGCTGCTGCTGCTGATAATGAATCCACACTGCATTGTAATTGAGGACGGTTTTCAGGCGAGCGGAACTTGCCTCGTAGCTGCGGACGACGCGCATGCCGCGGCCGCCGCCCCCGAACGCTGCCTTGAAGATGATGGGGAAGCCGTAGGTCTCGCAGAAGTGGCGCGCCTCGACCAACGAGACGACGGGCTCCTCTGTACCCGGCACCACGGGCACGCCTGCGCCACCACGTGGCCGCACACGGGGAGTTACGGGGTGAGCGGGGGTCCGCGTGCCGGAGAGTACAACTTGTGCGGCCAAGTGGGTGAGATGTATAAAGTCCACGCGTACCGCACGTCGCTAGCTCTGGTCGCCGGGTTCACAGCGCAGTGTGCAGACAGCTGTGCTATGAACCCGGCTTTGTTAATATCAATGGGCAGTGATATCTGGATGGGTGCGTGGGTGGGTGTATGGATGAGCATGTGGGCAGGGAAGTTCGTGAGCGAGCGAATGGGCGAATCGCGAGTCTGTGAGTGAAAGGCTGCCACCTTGTGGGAAGCAGCGGTGAGCGCGCTGCGCTACAAAGCCGGCGAATCCGAGCTCAATTCTCGCTCACGGCCAAACCAGTGGTGCATATCTGAACCGGTCCTGATCTACCTGGTGCGGTGCGTCAACATGGGGAGACAAAGGCGGCCGGGGCGTGATGCTGGCCACCCACCCCCCCTCGTGTGCCGTGCCGTCCTTCACAGCTGCTCCTAGCAACAGCACTTACCCCAACAGTCCGTGAAGGCTACACGGGGGATCTTTGTCGTCATCACGCAGGGGGGGGGGGGGGGGGGCAAGAGCGCTCGCTCGCTCACCTGCGCTGAGGGCGATGGCGCGGGCCTCCACCTTGTCGCCCATCTGCCGCACCACCTCGGGGCTGGGCCCGATGAAACGGATGTCGGCGTCAAGGCAGGCTTGCGCAAAGTCGGATCGCTCCGACAGGAACCCATAGCCGGGGTGGATCGCGTCCACGGCGTTTTCCTGCAGACACGGCGGCGTCAGCGGTGCACGCGGTCTTGCATTGCACGCGACGATTCCGACTCGCGATACCATCAGTTTTCGCGACGTCGTGGTTATTTGGAAGACGATATCGATATAATCAGTGTATCGCGAGATTGCTTCGGGAAATTTGATTTCGCAGACAATTTTCGCGAACTCACGTTCCAATAACCTTGTATTTGCGATTATAAATTCGGTGGTGTCGTGTTTTGCGCTCTGCCATACTTCTCGTGAGAATACAGGTAACGTTAGAAGTTCTTTGAATGGAGTTCACTCAACATGAGACTGCCATACGTTCCTAATCATTTGTTACAATGCACGTGCTGTCAGTAACATGCGACATCAATTATTTAATTAACTTTCACAAGAGTCTAATGGTGAGCTATTTATTTTTCTGTTGTTTCACAAATATAAGTCAGAAAATGAGATGTTATTTTCAAGTAAAACTATGAACTATTACGATATTTTGCAAAGCGGACGATAATTTTATTATTTTATCGTGGACCTTATATCTAACGATGCACCGTAATAACCACAGTAACGCGGGGCATGCCCGCACCATGCGGCCAGCGAGTCAAAGGGGTAACGCGTCGGGGAGTAAAGGGTCATCGCAGTACGATCGCCGAGGGCTCCGACGACTCTCGCCTGCAATGCGTTAGGGATTTATCTCGACCTCTACTCGTCGCAAACAACTCACGGGGAACGGGTGTTTTGTCGAGTTTGATTCGAATTTCAGTCGTGCTCCATTACACGCTTGTTAAATTACCTCCGTGGCATCAGCGAAGAGGACTCGAGTGCCAAATCGCTTTGAGCAGAAACTCGCAGAGTTCCGTGGAAAAAAATATTTTTAGATTTAAAGCTTTCGTGACTGCAGGGATTCATCTTCTTGGTTCTTTCGGTAAAGTCACGTAGAAGGGAAGTAATAAAATAATAAAAATAAAACATAATAAAATAATTCTCACGACGTTTCGGCTACAACGCAAGCAGCCGTCCTCAGCTAATTATGTTATTACTTCCCTTCTACGTGACTTTACTTAAAGAACCAAGAAGAGAAAAAAATATATTGACAGCATTCTTCTCGCTAGCCCGTTGACTTTAGCAGCTGGGGGGGGGGTGGGGGGGGGTTCGTGGACCAGCGCTGCGGACTCGAGGGGGGTCGGTGGGGGTGACGCAGGTTTGGGAAATGCCCGAGGAGTGCTGGAGGCAGCAGTTCCGCAAGCGGGTTCATGAACCAATCTTTGTTGTCCTTTGAATGTTATCCCTTTGTACTTGTTTTTTTGGTCCGGGTGCTCGGGTTTACTCCAAACGCAGATTTAGCATCTGAACGCGAGCACATCTCAGGACCCGTTGAATAAAGTAATTTTTTTGTAGAAATATATTTTTGAATGAAATCTAAATATGCAAACAAAAATATAACCACCTTCGCCATTAACACCATCCCATAAGAGAGATATATGCGTAAAAAGTTAATGCAGCGTTTCAGGCAATGCCCCTTCTTCAGTCGAGAGGGCAGCCAGATTGGAGATTGGAGCCAGTACTTTACAGTGGGGCGTGTTAAAATTGACGGTTAAACCCGAAAAAAGTTGACAAATGTGGAACAAAAGTAGAATTCTCACATGGGGTTTGAATAAATGAATACAAAAGTGAACGGGTCAGACGTCTCATTTACAGGATAGTGAATAAATACTTTGAGGCCCCCCTCGATAAATGAATGAAGACATTATTTGTATTGTTATTTGTGGTATCACAGAGGGTTGTCGCATGAAAGTGTAAAACCCACAGAGGCTGCAGAAATGTCTCTGTGAGATGGAGAATGATTTACAGGTTGGCATCAATTATTGCCGGTGCAGCCTCATGCCACTGGCAGGGCCTTACCACAGTTGGCTGGATGTACCAATGTCACAACAACAACAACCACCGCCATCACCAGAGCAGTTCCATAAACTGGGCCACCTCACAGCCAACATTTCATAATCATCTCAATAAAACAATACCGAATGGGAAGTGTCACTTTGAAGGGGATGATCTTAGCTTCTGAAGATAAGGCTCAGTTATGGAACAAGTCAATGGTTTGACACTTGCACGAAACTGAATGCGCCATCACCATCCCAGCGTGCATGGCAAGGTCAGTTCGTCGGAGTACCATTTGCATCACCAGCAGAACCACCAGCGTCATAGCCAGGGCACTCCATGCCCCAGCGCGCTATGTCGGTATACGAGCCGATGGTATCGGTGTCATAAGCAGCGACTTCGGCAATGTGTAATCAGGGACACTTGCACAAAAGCATAATTCCACATAATTGTCAGCAGAGATCACAATAACAAAAAGCGACTGGTGCCAAGTGGGGAGACGTGACGAGCAGATGCCTGCGAGATTGAGGTGGTGGGGGGGGGAGACGCATCCCGAGGACGGATGGTGAACATGTGGTACGGTGGGTTCTGCAGGCGGGCGTAGGAGTCACGTGACCCAGAGGCAGGGCAGCGGTGAGCAGGAGAGACAGGATCAAGGAGGGTATGGCCAGCGTTGGTCTCGGGCAGCAGGTCGAGGGGGCAAAGTGGAGATTGAGGGTGAGGAGCGGCGCCACCGACCCCGTGTGCATGGGGCCAGGCGACGAAGAAGAAGATCACAACAACAGCATGATGGGCGAAATTAATGGACGTCTGTTTTTGCTTTACAAGACTCTGCGGAGCTACGCGCGGTCGGAGCCTGCCGTGGACCTAACCAGCGATGCGTTTAGGAGATTTGGGATTCATATGAATATCGGGAACACACAAGAAAATCTAAAAAAATGTAACATGCCAAAAATTAGACAAAAAAAATTCCCTTCAAATTACTCAATTGAAGTTATACACAGCAACAATGCCCTCTCTGCTGCAACAACTTTGCAGGATCCTCCTGAAAGAGAGTCTTAAAGACTCTGTGAGGATTTCCCTGGGCAAGCAAGCGTAATTGTAATAAATAAATAACACCTGTGATTAGCTATGATGAGGAGCTACTAAAACAGCAGGGTGTGAAAATGTCAAATCGCTTTCTCAAAGGGCCTTAGCCGAGATTACCCATGACCGCCATTACCGTGCGCACATGTGTGTCTGTGTGGGGAGCGGCGATGCAACGGTTAGCGTAGTGCGCTACAAACCCGGTGACCAGAGTTCGATTCCCACGCACGACCAATAACAGTGGAAATATTTAAACTGGTCCTGGGCCTCCCCCCTAGGTCGACTCGGCCTCAAATGAGTACCTGGTGCAGGGTTTAAAAATCGCCACTGAAGGAAACAAAAGGCGTCCGGGCGTGGTGCGGGCCACCCACCCCCTCGCGTGCCGTGCCGGCCTTCGTAGGTGCTCGCTACAGCACAATCTGTTACAGGCTATACGGGGGATCTTTGTCATTGTGTGGCTCGGCTGTTTACCGAGGCCGTGCCTTTCATTCGACCGATATCGCCTTTCAATTGCGTTACCCAAGCTAGCTCCACTTATTATTTAATCTGCTCCAGACCAAAGCAAACTAAGCGGAGGGAGCCCTCTCTGTTGCTCTCCACACACAGAGATGTTTACCACAATCGCATCACGATATCATAAAACAAACAGGGCCTGTAAACAGCAGGTCTAGGGTCTCTCAAACGTAATTCACAAAACAAATGTGGCACAAAGGCGGACACTCTGGCACAGAAAGTCCCAGAGTCAACAAGACGGTCCTGTTCCCCACTCCCACCCCACGAAAACAAATACCAGAAATGTCCTTTATGCAGCAGCGTCTCACGAAGCCTCAGACTCGTTTTCATGAGGGTCCTACGTTCATTAGGCGGTTTGGCCGAGTCCATTAACGCATGCACGTATGTTGAACTTCTTTTACACCGTACGTAGCCAACCGTGCTAATCGGAGGTGCGGGTGAGTTTGGCTCCACGGAGGGAGGAATCCAGAACACCGAGACAAAATCCACCATGCATACAGACCCTCTCTGCGTTGAAGGTCAACGCAGAGAGGGTTCGTGACCTCGGGCTCCACTGCTCGATGCTGACCCATGCAGCCCAGTGGGGCGCTCAGGGCTGTAAAGGGGGAGGAGATTGGCACCTACCTCAACACTCACGAGAGCAGGAACTCACTTTGACACCGACGGAAACAAATAGAAATCGGAGCAAAAACCAACCACATTACAGGATGAATCAAAAAGACCAAACCCACATAAATCAACAGAAAAGAAAATAAGATTTCCCGAAACGGACATTCGACCCAGCTCGCGCCAGCGACCACGACCTCTGACCTGCGCCACGCGGATGATGTCGGGGATGTGCAGGTAGGCGGCGACGGGCGCCAGGCCCTTGCCGATGAGGTAGGCCTCGTCCGCTTTCTGCCGGTGGACCTGCCCAGTTGTCCTGCTCCGAGTACACGGCCACCGTGCGGATGCCGAGCTCCGTGCACGCGCGGAAGACTCGCGTCGCGATCTCCCCTAGCGCCACGACGCAAACAAAACAAAAAGTCAGCGGGGACGATCGTCGCCCGTTAACCTCCACCAGCCCCCCCCCCCCCCCGCCGCCCCCTTCCACGTCCGAGTCTCGACTCGTAACGCCAAATATGGGGATGAGCATGTTCTCCCCGTGGCCGCAGTGGCATTTTCTCCGGGTCCTCCGGTTTTTCCCTCCACATTTAGAATCAACGTCACACGTTCAGAGTATTTGGCTGCTATACATTTCCATGTGATGATAAGCCACTTCGTTGAGCAATCATTTGTAATCAAGTCGCCTCTGAAAAAGAGCTATATAGCTCAGTGGGCCTTACCTGCTAAAATTAAAACCTTGTTTCGTTTCATTTATGAGCGACTTTATTATTTGATTATCGATAAGCTTGTGTACCCAGGCAAGCCTCACCGAGTCCCAAGGAGGGTCTTGCCAAGTTTTCGCAGTACGGGGGGCTGCTGCCGTGTGTGATCCAAAGGAGTAATTTGCAGGGATTTTTTTTTCAACATCGGGATGTTTGGCCAATACCAGTTACCATGTGTGCTTTATTTAGCTTGAACGTGCGATAACTTCTCAGAAACACTCACATGCATCGCCAGTCTCAACTACTTTAATTACTCGATTACGACTACATGCACGATTGCTACAGCTAGAGTACATTCTACATGAGCCGGTGCACCATTGAATTATTTACCTTTGTTATTTATTTACAAGTTTAGCTTGTGGTGTCATGGCCATTGTATGAAAGTCTACCTGAGTTAGTTACAGATCTTCACACGCTCGTGTCAACGCGTGTTTGGCAAGTGTGTAAAGTCACCCCCTGGACACCACTGCGATTGAGATGTTCCATCTCTGGGGGTTTTACAGGCGACACATTTTCATCAATGCAAGGAATGAAAGTGGAAGGCAGCTAAAATAGTGGCGACGTACGGGCAGCTCCATGGCGTCGCACGTATGGTTCCTACCTCGCTGTGCGTGGTACAATTCTAAGTAAAGCACAGGGTGATTGACGATAAGGCACTCACCTCCACGATCACCCCCGGGCGGTCAGCCTCACCCCTTTGTCACTCTTCTATTGCTACTACCTACCATCGTTACTGTTCCTGTGAACTTCACTCAAAGACTCCTCAACCCACGTCGATCGTCTCATCCACCACACTGCAGGTCACTCACCCACCCACCCACTTACCCACCCACTCACCTAACTACTCACCACACTCCAGGTAACCTCACTCCTCTTTCTGCATCTTCACTCACAATAATACACTTTGGATTTCCCTCCCATTATCGTCTCTTCTACCCCAAGCTCTTACAATTGAATAACCTTGCTCAACTCAAGAAAATGCATGACACTCTCTATCCATTGCAACTTTGCTAGTGCCGCTTGTTGCTGGCCACGTGACGTTTTGGGGCCGCGTTTATACATTCAGATTTTTTATAACAAATCAGCGATGGAGCGCCGTCCCTCACCTCGGTTGGCGACGAGCACTTTCTTGATGGGCTTGTGCACGCTGTCGAGCGGCTCGCTGCTGTACTGCCGCGTCTGGCCCGGCACCCGGCACGCTGCGAGCCTCCGCAGGCACCGGCCCCGCAGGCCGCCACTCACCACTCCCACTTGAAGCATGGCTCCCTGCGGCACACGGCGCGGTTGGGATCACGACACGGTTGGGATCACGACGTGGCTGGAATCGCGACGCGCTTGGGATCAGGACGCGGTTGGGATCACGACGCGGTTGGGATCGCGACGCGGTTGGGATCACGACACGGTTGGGATCACGACACGGTTGGGATCACGACGCGGTTGGGATCACGACGCGGTTGGGATCACGACACGGTTGGGATCACGACGCGGTTGGGATCACGACGCGGTTGGGATCGCGACACGGTTGGGATCACGACGCGGTTGGGATCACGACACGGTTGGGATCACGACGCGGTTGGGATCACGACGCGGTTGGGATCACGACACGGTTGGGATCACGACACGGTTGGGATCACGACGCGGTTGGGATCACGACGCGGTTGGGATCGCGACGCGGTTGGGATCGCGACGCGGTTGGGATCACGACGCGGTTGGGATCGCGACGCGGTTGGGATCGCGACGCGGTTGGGATTGCGATGCGGTTGGGATCACGACACGGTTGGGATCGCGACGCGGTTGGGATCACGACGCGGTTGGGATCACGACGCGGTTGGGATCAGGACGCGGTTGGGATCGCGATGCGGTTGGGATCACGACGCGGTTGGGATCGCGATGCAGTTGGGATCACGACGCGGTTGGGATCAGGACGCGGTTGGGATCGCGATGCGGTTGGGATCGCGACGCGGTTGGGATCGCGATGCGGTTGGGATCACGACACGGTTGGGATCGCGACGCGGTTGGGATCACGACGCGGTTGGGATCACGACGCGGTTGGGATCACGACGCGGTTGGGATCACGACGCGGTTGGGATCACGACGCGGTTGGGATCAGGACGCGGTTGGGATCACGACACGGTTGGGATCACGACACGGTTGGGATCAGGACGCGCTTGGGATCAGGACGCGCTTGGGATCACGACGCGGTTGGGATCACGACACGGTTGGGATCATGACGCGGTTGGGATCATGACGCGGTTGGGATCACGACGCGGTTGGGATCACGACGCGGTTGGGATCACGACGCGGTTGGGATCACGGCGCGGTTGGGATCACGACGCGGTTGGGATCACGACGCGGTTGGGATCACGGCGCGGTTGGGATCACGACGCGGTTGGGATCACGACGCGGTTGGGATCACGACACGGTTGGGATCACGACGCGGTTGGGATCACGACGCGGTTGGGATCGCGACACGGTTGGGATCACGACGCGGTTGGGATCACGACACGGTTGGGATCACGACGCGGTTGGGATCACGACGCGGTTGGGATCACGACACGGTTGGGATCACGACACGGTTGGGATCACGACGCGGTTGGGATCACGACGCGGTTGGGATCGCGACACGGTTGGGATCACGACGCGGTTGGGATTGCGACACGGTTGGGATCACGACGCGGTTGGGATCACGACACGGTTGGGATCACGACGCGGTTGGGATCACGACACGGTTGGGATCACGACGCGGTTGGGATCACGACGCGGTTGGGATCGCGACACGGTTGGGATCACGACGCGGTTGGGATCACGACGCGGTTGGGATCACGACACGGTTGGGATCACGACGCGGTTGGGATCACGACACGGTTGGGATCACGACGCGGTTGGGATCACGACGCGGTTGGGATCGCGACACGGTTGGGATCACGACGCGGTTGGGATCACGACACGGTTGGGATCACGACACGGTTGGGATCACGACACGGTTGGGATCGCGACGCGGTTGGGATTGCGACACGGTTGGGATCACGACACGGTTGGGATCACGACACGGTTGGGATCACGACACGGTTGGGATCACGACACGGTTGGGATCATGACGCGGTTGGGATTGCGACGCGGTTGGGATCACGACACGGTTGGGATCACGGCGCGGTTGGGATCAGGACGCGCTTGGGATCACGACACGGTTGGGATCATGACGCGGTTGGGATCAGGACGCGCTTGGGATCACGACACGGTTGGGATCATGACGCGGTTGGGATCAGGACGCGCTTGGGATCACGACACGGTTGGGATCATGACGCGGTTGGGATCAGGACGCGGTTGGGATCACGACGCGGTTGGGATCATGACGCGGTTGGGATCAGGACGCGGTTGGGATCATGACGCGGTTGGGATCACGACACGGTTGGGATCACGACGCGGTTGGGATCATGACGCGGTTGGGATCACGACACGGTTGGGATCGCGACGCGGTTGGGATCATGACGCGGTTGGGATCACGACGCGGTTGGGATCACGACACGGTTGGGATCGCGACACGGTTGGGATCACGGCGCGGTTGGGATCAGGACGCGCTTGGGATCACGACACGGTTGGGATCACGACGCGGTTGGGATCACGGCGCGGTTGGGATCAGGACGCGCTTGGGATCACGACACGGTTGGGATCACGACGCGGTTGGGATCACGGCGCGGTTGGGATCAGGACGCGCTTGGGATCACGACACGGTTGGGATCGCGACGCGGTCGGGATCATGACGCGGTTGGGATCATGACGCGGTTGGGATCACGACGCGGTTGGGATCACGACGCGGTTGGGATCATGACGCGGTTGGGATCACGACGCGGTCGGGATCGCGACACGGTCGGGATCACGACGCGGTTGGGATCGCGACACGGTTGGGATCACGACGCGGTTGGGATCACGACGCGGTCGGGATCGCGACACGGTTGGGATCATGACGCGGTTGGGATCACGACGCGGTTGGGATCATGACGCGGTTGGGATCGCGACACGGTTGGGATCACGACACGGTTGGGATCACGACGCGGTTGGGATCATGACGCGGTTGGGATCATGACGCGGTTGGGATCGCGACACGGTTGGGATCACGACGCGGTTGGGATCATGACGCGGTTGGGATCATGACGCGGTTGGGATCATGACGCGGTTGGGATCATGACGCGGTTGGGATCACGACGCGGTCGGGATCATGACGCGGTTGGGATCATGACGCGGTTGGGATCGCGACACGGTCGGGATCGCGACGCGGTCGGGATCATGACGCGGTTGGGATCGCGACACGGTTGGGATCGCGACGCGGTCGGGATCATGACGCGGTTGGGATCATGACGCGGTTGGGATCATGACGCGGTTGGGATCGCGACGCGGTCGGGATCGCGACGCGGTTGGGATCAGGACGCGGTTGGGATCAGGACGCGCTTGGGATCAGGACGCGCTTGGGATCACGACACGGTTGGGATCACGGCGCGGTTGGGATCGCGACGCGGTTGGGATCAGGACGCGGTTGGGATCAGGACGCGCTTGGGATCACGACGCGGTTGGGATCACGGCGCGGTTGGGATCAGGACGCGGTTGGGATCAGGACGCGGTTGGGATCAGGACGCGCTTGGGATCACGACACGGTTGGGATCACGGCGCGGTTGGGATCGCGACGCGGTTGGGATCAGGACGCGGTTGGGATCAGGACGCGCTTGGGATCACGACACGGTTGGGATCACGACACGGTTGGGATCGCGACGCGGTTGGGATCAGGACGCGGTTGGGATCAGGACGCGCTTGGGATCACGACACGGTTGGGATCACGACACGGTTGGGATCACGGCGCGGTTGGGATCACGACGCGGTTGGGATCAGGACGCGCTTGGGATCACGACACGGTTGGGATCACGACGCGGTTGGGATCACGACGCGGTTGGGATCAGGACGCGCTTGGGATCACGACACGGTTGGGATCACGGCGCGGTTGGGATCACGGCGCGGTTGGGATCAGGACGCGCTTGGGATCACGACACGGTTGGGATCACGGCGCGGTTGGGATCACGACACGGTTGGGATCAGGACGCGCTTGGGATCAGGACGCGCTTGGGATCACGACACGGTTGGGATCACGGCGCGGTTGGGATCACGACACGGTTGGGATCAGGACGCGCTTGGGATCACGACACGGTTGGGATCACGGCGCGGTTGGGATCGCGACGCGGTTGGGATCAGGACGCGCTTGGGATCACGACACGGTTGGGATCACGGCGCGGTTGGGATCACGACACGGTTGGGATCGCGACGCGCTTGGGATCAGGACGCGCTTGGGATCACGACACGGTTGGGATCGCGACACGGTTGGGATCACGGCGCGGTCGGGATCGCGACGTGCTTGGGATCAGGACGCGGGGTTTTGGAACAGTGTCCGGATACCCGGGCGCCAGGGGTCCGGGACGGACGCGAGGGATTACGCGGCAAGGCGGCGGGGTACTCGATGGAGGGAGGCCAAAAGGGAAAGTGGCTGCAGTGGAGTTGTTGGAGATATTGGCTGTGGCACAAACCACTTGCCCCGGGTGGGCACAGAATAGGGGAGGAGGAGGAGGAGGGCCGATTAGCGATAAGGGCATTGGAGTGGTCTCCACGAGTCTGGCCACCAAGGGGAAGAGAAGACCTAAGTAGGAGCACGTGATGGTTGGAGGCTGTTCAAGCGGACCTTGCAGGTCGCGTGTCAACTGCGCAGCCGCTGCAGGGGAATCTGTTGGGAGGGGTGGAAAGCATTGACGACGAAGTGTGGTGGCATCGATGGATTCGGTCAACGTGGCTTCTTGATCTCGATCAGTACATTTACAGTACATCGTGGATTCATACGGCATCTACATGCGACGGCGTCTCAACGCGCTGCACATAAACAGTGGGTAAGTTTATTTCGAACAGAGAAAGAGACGGAGCCGTAGACAGAGCATACAGACAGAGGACTGGAGCCTGAAACTGAAAACAGGGGCATAGGAGCTCATGACTATGAGGGCAGCAGAGGAGTTTGAGCGACCTCCCACTGTGCAAAAGTTGACTCGAGGTGAGTGTAGTGAGCTGAGAGGGGGAGAGACAGGATAACTCATGGAGGGGAGTAGAGTGAGAGAGAGGGGAGAGGTTTGAGAGTGAGATGAGAGGGGAGGGGGTGGGTGGAGCTGCCGTACGCTTGCGCAGGAGCGCACAGAGTTTTTTTTAAATCTTTGAGTGGATGTTTTGTTGAATCCATGAGT